AAAACGACTCAAAAACACGAATATCCTGCAACTGTGGGAAAGGCTTATTGAGGAGGAGAATTACCTTGACTATCAGCAAAAAGTGAAATATTTCCAATGTCCCTCTGCAGTAGAGTTCTTATAAGCTTCTCAATAAGGGCCTTGCCTAGACCTAGGCCCTAAATCACCATCACATTCACCAAACGCAAATGCAATTGGTTAAGTCAGAATCAACATTCGCACAAAAGTACAGATATTCACAAAGGACCATTGCTGTGCAACACTAGGTCAGACATCCAGAAAAATCTGCTCGGTGGAGTTTGTCCAAATATCATACGGTAACAAATACCTGATAAGAAGGATCAACGAGAACATCCCAGATCGTTGCATTGAAAACATGGTCAGATGTAGCTCGCGCCATCCCTATCAACTTCTTTTGGCCATACTCCTCTGCCAAGTAACTTGCCAAAGTACACTAAGATGTATGTTACTTGAGATTTATTTAACAAACATACTACTTTGGTTACGTTGCAAATACCGTTGTCAATCGGAAAACAAGCATTAGTGTTTGTTTAAGTTAGAAGTTAATTATCTAACCAGGAAAGTTCAGTTGCTAATACCTTCTCCAGCTGATTTCTCTACGGAATGCAAAGTAGCAACTATGTAGCTATTTCTTAGAGCTTCTGCCAGCTTTGACAGTGGCCTCCGAGGCCAACCAACCTATCAAGAAGAAAAACTCACGACATTACTTAACCCCATAAAAATCTTTCTCAAGTCTACCAAAACAAAAGAATAGTATAATAATCACCTTATCGCATAAAGCTTGGAGATCATACACGTCAATATTCCCACCGGAAGAGAATATGATTTGTTCAACCATTCCATCAGCTCTCATCCTCTCAACGAGGACAAATTCCTCGGGCAAGGGCTCTCCCGCTTCTTCAGCACTCGGAGGTGCCTCTATAACCTGTGCTGTGTCTTTCTTCAAAATACTGCAACATGAAGCTACTAATGTTGATATCTCTCACTTCACTTCAATATGGTTCACATGTCCTCTATTAAGAAATCAAATTCGAGTACAATTAAGAGAAAACTGCAGTTACCCTGATCTAATGGACTCCCACAAGTTTGCTTTTAGTCTCGAAGCCTTTTGCTTTCTGCTGCCTGCAAGCAAAAGAAGTAACAGCTGATGTCCATTTAAAATCATGACACACAATACAAAAGAATAACGGCCAGATTTATTTATTTTTTTTTTTGGAAAAATTACCAATATATTGGCAATGGTTTATCACACGCCCGATATCTTTAAGTACTCAATATGAAACGGACTATTAGTTAAACATTATGCAAGCTAAACTTTCATGTTACAGAAAGAAAGAAGCAGCAGAACAAAGCAACCAAGAGAAAGAAAGAACTCCAAAATGATTTCCTTTTCTGAAACAGAATGGAAAAAAAGCACCAAGGACCTAATTTGAGGGGCAAATACTACAGGCAGTTATGGACCAGAGAGAGAAAAAAGGGCAGCTAAACTTCCATGAAATTGAACAATTAATTACAAAAGAACTCCTGAACGGCGCTTCAAACAAACTACTGAGTATAGGATATTTCAATATACCTCTCCAAAGACCAAAATTGAGGGAAGTAGATGACGGGTACAGCTCTGGAGCCCGGCAATACAGAGAAGCCATTGGAGGGTAACTGCAGAAACGGAAGCAAATCATTATCACACATTAAGCGCAATCCGAAGGCAAAAATTACTCACTGCTTGGATAATTGAGTAGATTGGAGGTGGTTGAATAAAGATTACTCACTGCTTGACGGCGGTGAGCGACAAAGCGACGTCGTATGTTGGCATTTTTGTGGGCCGGAAAGTATCGGTGTGCGGTGGTGGACTGGTGGTGGTCGTCGGTCCAGATATGGCAAAGCCAATCCAAATTCACCACAAAACTTGAAAATATTAATGAATTTTGGTGGGGGTAATTCGGTCAATTCATCATCTTTATCAATTTTTAACTCCAGACCTAAATGATGAATTTTGGTGGGAGGAATTTGTAGTTTGTGTGGTTTGTGAATATAAAAAAGACAGGCTTAAAGAGAATAAAAAAATAAAACAAAAATTAAAGTCGAGGCACGTAATAGTTACTTCTCTTTAAGATGAAATTGCCCCGTAAAATACTCACGGTTAATGGCAAACGTCTCCAAAATACAATGACTTTCAACTTGTATATAGCGGTACTTCAAATATACGAGCCTTCGACGAACAATACTATTGTTTGGAACTCTCAAGACTCAACGAAAAAATCAAAGAATACAATATGCTTTATGAACTTTGAAAATAAAATGCAAGAGCTCTTTAAAATTTGATGTTTGAAATTATTTCACTTCATGAGAATTTATAGATGTTATAACACATCTTCAGAGAGTTCAAGGCATCAAAAGACACCTTTTGAGATGTCAGGGTCGCGAGCTCGTCGCACCCGCAACGCCCTGTCGCGTCCTTCTGTAGCGTGTAGTAGACTGTCACATTGGTATATATAACTAAAAACTTACTCCCTCCATTTTGAAATATAAGGCATTTAAGGTTATTGCACAAATATTAAGGAGACATTAATTAATGAATAAATTGACTAAATTANCCCTTTGTCTTCACAACTAGGTACTGAAAATATCATCAATAATCGTGACATTCCAGTCTGATTTCATCTCACATGTCGACTAACAGGGTACTGGAATGATTCAGTCTAAATGGTCTCACAAGCTCTGATGCAATATCTTACGGGGCACTCGACCTCAATACGTAGCAGCAGTCAAGTAGAAAAAATACTACTCCCTCCATTTTGAAATATAAGGCATTTAAGGTTATTGCACAAATATTAAGGAGACATTAATTAATGAATAAATTGACTAAATTAACCTTATTTACTCTAATCACAACCACTCCACACTTCTTTAATTTCAACACAATGAGGGTATATTTAGAAAAAAATGCAAAAATTTGTCTTGATTTTTGAGCGCGCCTTATTATATTTCAAAAAAATTGAGAAATCTTTATACGCCTTATATTTCAAAATGGAGGGAGTATATCTAAAGGTGTAATATGCATGTATATGCTCATGAAATGTATGACATGTTTATTAATCTAAGAAAATGTCACAGCATTTATCAACACCTATTCATCACATAACTAACAATCATGTTAATGTTTAAATATAAAGATGTTTAGTGGAATGATAGTGTGGAATGATGTGGAAAAGAGTGTGTGATTGATGTTTAAATGAATGAATACGGATGTGGTGGATGCCCTAATAGTATAAGTTGTTTGCTTTGTGTGATTTATGATGCAATTTAATTTTCCGTACTTGTGTTACTACTTTGATGTATTTTTATGACTAGTTTGGTAGCTTTAATGTTTTTTTTCTTAATGTTTTATGACTCATGAGTCGGGTTCTCTTACTCAGAAGAAGGTGTGACAACCCTTTGCTGCTTGCACAATTTGTCAAAGTTCTTAATAATGTCCCAAATATATACTTACATCCAAATTTGAATTTGGAATCTTGTTTGAACAACTCGTTTTTCCTTTGAGAAGATTGTTATAAATTCCTGAAAAATTAACAAATTACCATATCATTATATATCTACAACTACAAATAAAAT